GTGCAAGGCAGCAGCAGCGCCTCTGCATGTGTCCCCAGGAGATAACCCTCTCGTGGTGCAGAGCTGATAAACGCCGGCTCGGCAACGTCAGAGCCCCTGACCACCACAACGGGCTGGCACTGCGGGCGGCCACTAAAACCAAGATCACAACAGCATTCTGAAAACACGCGAGGAGAGCCTAGTAACTTCGTAAATGAGACCGAGGAGGGGCCCAGGCGGTGGAGCCGTGTTTCCGCTCTGCGAGGATGACGCGCGTGGGAAGGGCTAGGGTTCCTGCCCCAGGACTGCCCAGAGCGTACCGGCCGGCGTGTCCGTGATTGGGGCGAACTGCGGCTGGGGTGGGTCGTGGCACCGGGACCCCCCCACCCACAGAGAAGATAAGCAAACTTAGAAAGCGAGAAGAACAGGGTAAACGCCACTAACAAACCTAGACTCAGGTCATGACCCCAAGTCTAGGTACCCCTGAGCCCACACCAGTGTATAGGAATGAGAAAGAACTGAACAACCTCCCACACCGACGTCCGATCAGGATGTAGGGGAGCGCACCCCCACTTAGCGACGTGCCCTACGAGTGCAGGTGGAGAGGGGGACAGGGTCACGTCCAGCGAAGAATGCTGGGACCCGCACGGCGCCGGGTGGCCAGGCGACATCTGTGTGCTAACCACTGCTCACAGCCATACCCTGACTTGACGTGACGACCACAGCAAGTTTTATTTTATTTTTTATTTTTTGGCCAGAAGGAGAGCTTGCTCATCCACACAGAGGGAGCAGGGGAAGCATCCCCAATGGGACGTGGTCATGCCGCCATCCCATCACCTCCACTTCTCCTTTCTGTCGGGGTGTGGGGCAAGAACTTGCAGCGGAAGGAAAATGAATAGCAAGCGCTTAGGGGAGTGATTTTCCTGTCACTGAATAGCACGCTTTCAACCGTAATTCCTGGAGAGAATGTGCCTTTTCAGAAGACAGGCAACGAGGTTCTTTTCTTTTTAAGAGAGATTTTTGCTATAAGGCACGTGCACTTGCCAGGGAGACAGAGAGACAGAGACAGAGAAAAAGCAATGCATGTTCTAGCATCCAGCATGTTTTTCAAACTCCTGGGGCCGGGATTTAAACCACAGCCAGCCATGTGGGATCAGGCTCGCCTGACCACCAGGCCACTGGGCCAGCCCAGGACGGCAATGTATTGGTGTGCTCTCGCTTCCTAAAACCCACGTCCCCGATCTAACCCGGAGAAAAATATCAGACAAGCCCAAATCCAGGGAGATGTCACAAAACTTCTGACCAGTATTCCACAAAACTGTCAGATCATCAAAAATGAAGAAAGTCCAACCAACGGTCACAACCGAACGAGGAGAGGGAGACTTGAGGCTGAAAGCAGCGTGCTCCTGGGCCGAGCGGCCCGGCACGCGCGGGCTGCAGACTGGGCTTCCGTGGCTGCTGAGGCTCGGCTCGCCCGGGGCACAGACCGGAGCATGAATCCCCCACGTCCACTGGGGTACACGCAAGTGCTGGGAACAGAGATCTCCACAGAGCGCCCTGTGTAATTCGGAACAAGACGCTTAACTCCACTCACCAAGCCTCCAAAGACACATCGGGGAAAACCAGTGACCCCCGCGCCACGTGGGGTCCAAACTCAGCCCCAGGCCAGCGCTCGCTGGCTTCTCAGCGGGGATGGACGAATACACCGCAGTAACTAAGACACCCACGCAGGGGCCAGCAGGTGGCATGGTGGCTATGGGGCTGGATTCCCATATGGCTGACTGAGGTTCAAGTCCTGAACACAGGGGCTCGAAAATGACAACAAATGATAGATAAATAGATGAATGAGTGAGAGAAATGAATGGGGGTGGGGGGACATGAACGTCAGCGTGCCCTGAGCTGTCTCTCTAACATTTTTGCGATTTTATATCTATTCGAAAGCAAGAGCTTGGTTTTCAATGTCACAAGACATTAGATGAGTTTGGGAGAACTTTAAAAATCCCAGCTGTGCAGTGGAAGAAAATGAATAGCAGGTGCTTAGGGGAGTGACTTTGCAGTCCCTGAACAGCACGCTTTCAACGATAATTCCTGGAGAGAACCTGCCTTTTCAGAAGACAGACAAGGACGTTTCTTTTCTTTTCTTTTTTCTTTTTTTCTTTTTTTTTTTTTTTTATTTTTTTGAAACATTTTTATAGGGAGCATGTACTTGCCGGACAGACAGAGAGAGACAGAGAGATAGAAAGTGAGAAATCGCCCCTCCAGGGGGCATGGCCACACCACAATCCCTTCTCCTCCATTCTCCTCTCAGGGTCTTGGGCATGCACGCACACACGCCTGGCATGAGTTTAAGCCACCGGGTCTGGGACTTAAACTGTGGTCAACCACATGGGAGCCCAGCGACATATCGACTCGCCCGGGGCACAGACCGGAGCATGAATCCCCCACGTCCACTGGGGTACACGCAAGTGCTGGGAACAGAGATCTCCACAGAGCGCCCTGTGTAATTCGGAACAAGACGCTTAACTCCACTCACCAAGCCTCCAAAGACACATCGGGGAAAACCAGTGACCCCCGCGCCACGTGGGGTCCAAACTCAGCCCCAGGCCAGCGCTCGCTGGCTTCTCAGCGGGGATGGACGAATACACCGCAGTAACTAAGACACCCACGCAGGGGCCAGCAGGTGGCATGGTGGCTATGGAGCTGGATTCCCATATGGCTGACTGAGGTTCAAGTCCTGAACACAGTGGCTCAAAAATGACAACAAACGATAGATAAATAGATGAATGAGTGAGAGAAATGAATGGGGGTGGGGGGACATGAACGTCAGCGTGCCCTGAGCTGTCTCTCTAACTTTTTTGCGATTTTATATCTATTCGAAAGCAAGAGCTTGGTTTTCAATGTCACAAGACATTAGATGAGTTTGGGAGAACTTTAAAAATCCCAGCTGTGCAGTGGAAGAAAATGAATAGCAGGTGCTTAGGGGAGTGACTTTGCAGTCCCTGAACAGCACGCTTTCAACGATAATTCCTGGAGAGAACCTGCCTTTTCAGAAGACAGACAAGGACGTTTCTTTTCTTTTCTTTTTTCTTTTTTTCTTTTTTTTTTTTTATTTTTTTGAGAGATTTTTGCTATAGGGAGCATGTACTTGCCGGACAGACAGAGAGAGACAGAGAGATAGAAAGTGAGAAATCGCCCCTCCAGGGGGCATGGCCACACCACAATCCCTTCTCCTCCATTCTCCTCTCAGGGTCTTGGGCATGCACGCACACACGCCTGGCATGAGTTTAAGCCACCGGGTCTGGGACTTAAACTGTGGTCAACCACATGGGAGCCCAGCGACATAACCATTACACCATCTGCTGGCCCCAACACCGAGGTTTTCTGAGAGGAGCCTTCCTCCATGGCACCATCTGGCCTTTACACACAAGGAATTATCACAGGTGAGAAAAGCCAGTCAGAAAATAACAAAGAACCTTGGAAGTCACGCTAAAAAGGAAAACACCAGCAAAATCCTGGAACACTTGAACATCAGAAAGATCCAACAGAAGGGACCAGCAGTTAGTGTAATGGCTATGTCGCTGGACTCCCATGTAGTCGACCATGGTTCACATCCCGGACTTAAAACTCACACCAGGCATGTGTGTGTGCGTGCCCAAGATCCCGAGAGGAGAATGGAGGAGAAGGGATTGCGGCGTGGCCATCCCCCCTGG